GTTCAAACTGAAGGAGGATTGGCCAAATATTTTTCAATTTCTGTTGGACTACATTAGAGATCGACTTTAAGCCCATATCTTTTTGCTTTAGTTAGGGATGGTATTAGTGGACATCTACAGGAGGATGTACCTTGGTGTATGCTTTTTGCTGATGTATCCTTCTCATGGATAAAATGAGAGAAAAAAGCCCAGGAAAAACTTGAATTATGGAGGTCTACATTGGAGTCTAAAGCCCTTCATTTAAGTAGAACTAAAATTGAATACATGGAATGTAAGTTTAGTAGTAGGAGCTCTAGTGACAGACAGGAGTGTGACTTTGGGTGATCAAGTTATTAAAAGATGTGAACAATTTAGATATCTTGGGTCCGTTGTTCAAAGCGATGATGATATAGATGGGGATGTTAATAGTAGAATTCAAGTTGGTTGGTTGAAGTGGAGGAATGCTTCTTGCCTTTTGTGTGATAGAAAAGTACCGCTTAGACTGAAAGGAAAATTTTATAAGGCGATGGTGAGATCTGCAATGCTATATGCATCTAATAAATTCATTAGATGAATGTTGGCCTTTAAAATGGTGAGATCTGCAATGCTATATGAATGTTGGCCTTTAAAAGAGAAGCATAATAATAAGTTAAGTTTTGCCGAGATGAGAATGATTTAGTGGATGAGCGGCTTTACACTTAAAGAAAAAATGTGAAATGAATATATCCGTGATAGGGATGGTGTAGCTCCTGTAACAGACAAAATTAGAGAAAGTCATCTTAGATAGTTTGGTCACATTAAACGTCGACCATCTGATGATCCGATTAGGAGAATAGATGTTTTAGATTCAACTTGTGTTAAGAAAGGAAGAGGTAGACCTAAGAAGACTTGGGCTTATTGTATTAAAAATGATCTTAATTTACTAGAACTAAATGAAAATATGACACTAAATAGGACGCAATGGAGAAAAAGGATTCATGTAGCCGACCCCACGTAGTGGGATTAAGGCTTTGTTGTTGTTGTTGTTGGTGTATTTAATTTCTAAACAAAATATTTAATCCCCTTATAAATTTTTAAAATGAATTGAAACCATTAACTACTTTCATTATAAATTAATCTGTCAACCAATCTTCCTATCATGGGAAATTTACATGCATACCACACAAAGTTTATGCATTTCCACATCATAAGATTTGATATTTTCATTCATCACACTTCAATGTTATAAAGCCCTATATGAAAAAGCTTATTTCACTTTTTTTATGTTATATTAAAGAATTGAGTATTACACATGTAAATATGAAAGTTTATACATGAAACATAAAAATGGATGAGTTGTATGTATACATGTAAAATTGAGTGTTATAAATGTAAAATTTCCTTTAAACAATTTGACTTGCAATTTTCATCAAAGATTCCCATTTAAGCCTTGTAGGTATAATTAATTCTCATTCAAATTTACATTAAAAAAATTAAAAATTAAAATGTTCAATGTAGTTCGCTTGTTTTGCTTTCAAGAACTCAATGATAGTAGGGACATCACCTTGCATAACAATAGATCCATCTTCCATATAAAAAGCACCATCTGCATACTTCAGTTCTTCTAGCCGATGTGTTACCCATAATGCAGCAACTTCTTCATTACAAGAGACACACCTCTTAACTGCCTTGATGACTCCCAGCTGAGGCAGAATTCAAATAAAATCAAGTTTGAGGATCCAACATTTACATCAAAGAAGAGTATCAGAAAATAATGATTCTATTTTGGATACATTTTTGGGCATTTTATGTCTGTAGAGTTAGAAATCCATGTTAATTGCTAACTAGATCTGTCTAAATGACGCAACATAAAACATTTATCATTTTTTTCAACGCGATTTCTAATTTCAAGGAACTAAAATTAACCCTCGATTATAAGAGCTTTTATTGCGTACGGACACCGGACGTAAATTTGCGTCTGGTGTCCGATCAGAACCACTGAAGTACACATTTTTGTTTTTTCTTGTTTTTAGAGTGGGGGCCACTCAAATTTTTTTGATGGCTCAGATCGGACACCGGATGCAATACGCAATATAAAATCCAATTATAAAAGTAAAATTACTTTTGTGGAAGTTTTGAAATATTTGTACAATTTGAATCAAATATTGATTTTATGAACTCCAACTAAATGATAATTTAATAAACTTCAATGTTTCAAACTTCAAGCAAATGAGAGGAATGAATATTTACTTATGCATAGAAAGGATCTTGCAGATAAAAATTAAGAAAAATGAATATTTAATATCACAGAAAGTGTTTCAAAAATGTTTCAAAAACTGTCTAGTTGATTAAGAGGAGAAATTAGAGATTGATTTCCAGGTTGGCTCTGCGAAGCCCATGACATTGATTGGGGGAGTCTAACAAGTGTCACATTAGAGGCTCATTAGGTAGCATGAAGTTTGTCTTGTATCCAGATTTATCCATGGTGCGCATAGAAGAAGAAGAAGAAGAAGAAGAAGAACAAGAAAGAGAAATTTTAAAAGGCGAACCATGCAAATAAAATCTTCAAGGGCCGAGTCAAAATACCCAATCAAGGAGAAGTTGGCATGGGCACATGTGATCACAACACAATGGCTTCAAACATATTTACAAGCACAACCAAATTCCAACCCAATTCAGCAAAGACCATCCCATAAATCTTCCTCTACAAACCTCATCATTTCAAAAGATTGTTCAAATGTGCAGTAGAGGGTTGAAGAAGCCACTTAACTGACCCGGGCGGATCCATTTTTTAAATACCTAAAGACATGATAAATTCCACCCTTCGTAAAGGACAAATGAACATTCAAAATCAAGGCCACCAAATACTTGCACTTGCATGATGAGTTGTTCGGTAGGCCAATCATTCTGATAAATTTGATGTGCATGCGAGAAAGAGAAGTAGAAAGAATTCTGAAAGATGTTCATTCTAAGAATGTGGGAGTTACTTTAGAGGACAAATTTGGGAGACAAGATCCTTAGATAAAAATAATTTAGTGCAACCATTAAGAAGGATGTAGGCAATTTCTCAAAAAAAAGCCTTAAATGCCAAAATTTGCTCCAATGCAATTACAACCTTTTTATAAGCTACAACCAACATTCAGCCATGACCGTCGACAATCTACGGAATGGACTTTGAATGGACCTTATCTCCATTCTATGGCTAAAGAAAATTCATCTCTATAATAGATGATTATCTTACAAAGTAAATTGAGGTAAAAGCTTTGATAAAGAGTACTACAAAACAAATCTTATAATTAGTTATTTTTATGCATAACACATACTAATAAAAAATGACTGATAACAAATCTTTAAAAACTAATAAAAAAATCATGTAATTGCATTTCATTGTTAAATAAATATTATTTATCTCACATAATAAATTTTGTAAGAGAAAAGAAATGCATAAGGGTTGAGTGCACTTGTACAACTAAAAGAAGGTTATCAACAAAACCTCAACTATGCAAAAAAGCTTATAACTAAAGTGATCCATCACAAACCCAGAGTAACTTTAAAGTTTATTTAATAAAACATTATTAAAATTATTAAGTTTTTTCTCTCTATCTTTTCATATTACCATTCTTATATTTTTAAAAACACTTCATTACATATCATGTATTTGTCATCATGCATTGACTTGGATTCAATAAATACCCAAAAATTAAAAGCATCTATATTTGATAGTGTGGAAGACAATGTCAAATTTTAAGATTGATTAAAATAATTGACAATTTACTTTGCTTGACAAAATACATATGACTATCAGAGTATTCCCTATGCAAATTTAAAGTTGATAGGAGAACTAAATATTACATTAGACTGGATTGTTTTGAAAGAAAACAATTTTATTACAAAAACTCTAACAAAGGATAGATATGCAAATTATTTGAAATCTATATATATATATCCCACTGGAGCATAAAATATAGTCAGTCCTCACATCATTTAGAAAATCTTTTTTACTTTTAATAAAATGAGATTTAAAAAGTAGGCTTAGCATGAATGATGCTTATCATCTAATTTAATCTGATGTTGTTTTTCTTTTGTGCAGCGTAGAGAGCCTGGAGATAGTTCTAATGATCCAACTGTAGGCAAATTTTTTCGCACCGTTGTACACAATGAAATAGAAATAAATGATCTATATTGTGCTTATGTTCATCATATTAGATTCACTATTTGAAAGGACCACAGTAATTTTTTTCCGAATTCGAGGAATATTAAGCCAAATGACTTTTTATGGGGTAAAGTTAGTTTAAAAAAAGATTTGAAGTTCACCAATGCGGTGAAGTTCAAATAAATGTACACAAGAACTGGTTGCACACTATTGATTTGATATACATTTGATGTTCAGAGCAACTAGACAGTTAAAAAAATTATAGAAAATCTAGCACTCCTTGGTAAATCCGGTGATAAGCATCTTCTGCTTTTCAGCAGAAAGATAAGTGAAATCAGTGCAGATGTGCTTAGATCGATGATACAATCAGAGATAAGAGCTACGAATACTTTTTAACTTTCTTGCTACGGAAGTTGGAGGAGTCAAAATCTTAAATGTACGAAGAGAGATTTCTTCAATTTCATTCAAAAAGAGAGAAGATATAAAATATAAAATGGCTACGCTAATTTTCTTCTATAATTGTTCACGGAGAGACAGACTGAGAATAATATTTTTGTGTGAGAAATCTAAATTGGTGAGAGCGGTAGGTTGATAAGCTTTTTATGAAGTGAAAACATGTCCAAACTTGATTATGACTGTTTTGGGGGTGTCATTATTTTTTATACAAGTTATCGACTGAATAAATATAATTTATGTTATGCTCATTTTATTGGTGTGAATCATCATTGACAAAAAAGTTCTCTTCGGAGTTGAGTTTTTCTCAGACGAGATAATTGATTCATTCAAACGATTATTTAAAATATTTATTAGTATCATGGATGACAAACATCTAATAACAATCTTTACATATCAAGATCAACCAATGACAAGAGTTATAAAAGATTCTCAGCCACATACACGACATAAATTATGCCGGTGACATATCTACAAAAAATTTTCTTCGAAAGTCCATTGTGCGGTGGGTAATAAGACAACCAACGAACTTTTATACAAATGCATGAGCAAATGCGACTCTGAAGAGAAGTTTGAACATATTTGGGCTGTGATGATTGAGAAAGGAAATTTTCATGACAACGTTTGCCTAGATGATTTGTACAGTATTAGACATAAGTGGTAAAGAACATTCAATAAAGAAATATTTGAAATGAGAATCTTATCAACACAAGGAAGTGGGTCCACAAATAATATTTTTCATAGTGTCTCAAAGCCAACAAGCTCTATTACCGATTATTTTCTAGGTCTTTAAAGTGTCATGAAAGCATGGAGGCAGAATAAGAAAGAAGGGGATTTCAAATGTGCTCAGCCTGTAATTACTCATGTCGTTAAAAACAGCTTAGTATTGAGGCAGACAACTTTATTTTATTCAAGGAAGCTGTACTCAATGTTCAAGAAAGAGTTCTTACATAGGCTATGTGGTCTTGTTGTAGATTCTCTGGAAATAATGATTCATAATTTTATATTAATAATTTGGATAATCAGGAGACAAACAACCCTTGAATTGTTAAATTTGACAAGTCTAATTCCGAAATTACATGTACTTGCAAGAAATTTGAAATGATGGAGTTATTATGTGCTCACTTTCTACGAGTTCTCAACTTAGAAAATATAATAAAGATATCGATAAATAGCTCCTATTGCAATGGTCTGTTCATGAGAAAATGGATATCTATAACAATTATGGATGCAAACATCTCAAAGAGGCATAAATGTGGAATGCTAATTCAAGTGGCCACATATTTCGCACACGACCAAAAGTTTGCATATCAAATTAATACCAAAACATAAGAAAATGAAGCTGTTGAGCAATGTATGTTGAAATCATTGAAAAAATATCAATCGATGTTGATGGTATATTAAGTGAGAGAGCACCTCAGTCAAAGCAAAAAAAAAGTCAATAAAGAGTGCAATTTGAAAGACCAAAGGAAGATGCGCCTAGAGAGAATATCTAATTCCAGATTAAAAGGGTATTGAGAGAAAAATAAAAGAGTAAAAACTATATATTCCAGTATTCAAAGTCAATTTTATTTTATGTACAATTATGTTTCTCTAAAATAAACCATGGTATACAGAAAAGGAGAAAGAAGCCTCATCTAGCCAAGAACCAGCCCCATGCGACACAAATTTGTATTCAATCCTAGATTGTCTCATGCAGCTATATAATGGAAATTGAACACTAGAATTGTTTTTTTACATTTTCCTAAACATTCATTCACCAACATAGCACTCACGATTACTCCAACATAGCATGAATTGTTCACACCACAACTCACAGACACATATAACAGTCCAATGATGGATTCAATTCGTGAGATATAATTCCTATCAAACTCTTCAATAATATAATTCAACCCCCAACAGATAATAAAGAAATTTCCCAACTATCAAAACTCTTCTAAATAATGTTCATAACTAAAATAAATGACTTTTTATTGTATTATGTAATCGGTTGTCCAAGTACTACAGATGTTATTCTACCCACATAGCAATCACATTTGACTCTCCTTTTCTAGAGTTAATATTCAAATTAATAGTGACTCTTCTTATTGATTT